ATCTGGGCACCTGATATTGATGCCTTTGCAACCACCCTCAATCACAAATGACCTCAGTTTTGGTCCCCTGTCCTCCATCTTTGAGCCTTGGCTGTTGATGCTTTCAACCAGGATTGGTCTCATCTGTTCCTTTATGTTTACCCTCCCATCCATTTACTTCATCAGGTGGTCTCCCTCATCCATGTCACTCCATGCATGGTCCTTCTGATTGCTCCTTACTGGCCTTCTCACTCTTGGTTTCCTCAGGTGGTCCATCCCCTTCCTCTTCCTTTCCATCCTGACCTGTTTTATCCACTCCAGTCACCAGTGCTCCATCCCATGCTATTCATCGTCTATCTTCATGCCTGGCTTTTGTCAGGTCCATGGCAAGGAGTTCTGGTTACTCTCACAGAGTAGCCTCACATTTAGTGTGTTTCATTTGCCCTTCTTTGGCCATCTAACAACACAAATGGAGTGTTTATCTCAATAGTTGCCTGTATCTCCAAGTTTCTCATGTGGCTCTCTGAAAGGGGTTCTTCAGCCTTTTTGATTTCAGGGTTTTGGGTAGCATTATCCCATACATTCAATTTTTCCTGCTTCTGCGGGGTCTTTTCTTCCCCTGTCCTTTCCATGTTGATCCATTCCTTCTGGCTCCATCCGTCACTGAGGCGTCTGTCGCTCCTGGACTGGTACATTAACATGATCCTTCATGCCCTTACTTTACCTCTGTTCAATCCCCTGTCTATGTGTTCCCTGTTTCACCTGTCTTTGAAGGCATATTTTCTCCTCCTCCTGGCCTGTGGGCATCGTAAGTTGGATATTTTTGCACTCAATGTTATCAAGACCTTGTACCACTCCTCCTTCCTTATCCTTTATCAGGATCATGCTTTCCTTCCAAGAACTCTGTGGCTCAAGAAGGTCAGTCCTTCTTTTCTCCTATCTGCCTATCCTCTATATCTTACCTCTATCGTTGTCCTGATCTAGATAGACTCCTCTGTCCTGTCCATGCCATCCATTGTTATATTGCTCACATGGCTTCCTTCCTTTTCCCGAGTTACCCTGACCAATTGGGTTTGATATTTGATCCTGTTGGCCTATTCCTCCTTGTCTTCTTTCCAGCATGATTTCTTTTCACATTTCCTCACATCAAATCCATCACCTTACCTCCTCCCTTGCCTCTTGTCTTCGTTGATCATTGGAAGAGATTCTAAGATCGGTCATGTGGACTACCCCACACATGTTCATCTCCCACTACCTACACCACATTGCTGTTTCTGCTTCATTGGGGTATCGCCTGCTGCCTGAGGCTATTCTACAGACTTCAGCATGGCTGTGACAGGAGGTAAATCCTCACTAATGCTTTTTTTCCTTTTAGGTGCCCCTGCTCCACCTTCAATTTGGATCCCACTTTGTGGCGAGTGGTGCCTGACTAGGTATTCTATCTGTACTCAGAATGAGTTCCACTTAGATGGCTATAACCATTTGCAGACATATTGCTATCAAACCTGTACTGTAAGCCATGTTGATTCTTATACATTTTAATGGCTTTGTACACTCACCCTTGAGATGAGGTGTTTCACAAGATCACTAGAGTGTAAATTCCTCATGATAATTGCATCATAATATGCCCATTGTGGACCATACCACCCATGGACAGCATGGGTAAGGCAGAAGAGGATTGCAGCCCATCCCTGCTATGCCTAGATTGAATAAATCTGTGTGGTCTGCTTTTCAAAATAGAATTTTGTGATCACCCATTGCACTGTCTTGGGTGTTGCAGTCAGGACTATCCACTGCACTTTTATCCCCTTCCAGTAGAGTACAGGAGTCCTTACCAGTTCCAAGTTGCTGGGATGGTTGACCATGGAGGCAACCTGCTGGATGGGTTACACAAAGATGGGTATAACCATAAGCTCAGAGTAGAGTGATGGTGTTCTGCCGGTGTAGAGGGAGTTACAAGATCCTTCAGATGAGAAACTATTTTCTGGAGCAGAGATGCCCAAATGCAGTTCACCCCTCTGATTGTGTGCCCTCCTCCTACCTTCATATGAATGTCAGTACCCAGCGAGTAAGATTTTGGAGATTGAATGAACCAACCACATAAGTCCTCACACAGGTTTTGGGTTGTCCATCTTCCCCTCTCGACTTGTATTCTGTGATGGGGGGTGGGGGGTCATGGAAGGTGTATGTGGCCTGTTTCTGCTTCTGTCCTAGGTTTTCCCTCGTTGAATGACGAGGTTGTTACTGACCTGGGGTCGTTTTGGGCTGGTTTCACAGTTGCAGGGTTGAGTGCATGCAATGAACTTCCCTCGGATTCCAAATGACATATTCCCAGATCCCTGGCATTAGGCAACCCTGCGAGTTCCTGAAGTTGAATGTTAGGTTCCCTCTTGACTTTAGGACTTCAGGTGAAGATGACACGGTCCTCATCCTATCCTTGAGGATGTTGGTGCCCAGCAAGTGAGGTTTTGGAGGTAGTTGACTTACTGAGTATTGTCCGCTGCACCCTCACTACTCTACACCATGCAACACATCCTCACTTGCTCACTTTACATAGTGGGATTGAGTGATTCTGGTTTCTGTTTAAGATCACATTACTAAACTATCCTCTCCCACATGGATGTGCTCCCTTTAATGTTCTGCCATGTCTGGTCCTCCTGATCATGTTGATGTTCCTGGCAAAGAGCTACCTGGCTCAGATGTGGTGTGGTACCCCTCTTCAGATCATCTGATCTGTTCTTCTAATCTTGGAAGTGTCCTCCGGATGCTTCCGGAGGGATACGCCAGTTCTCTGTGCTTTCCTCACACTGGTTCTTCCTCCATTTCAGTGTGGGATTCAAGCATAGGGAGAGTACCTTATCAGAAGTTATAATTTTCCTAAATGAAAATGTATTTCCGATAGGTACTTCCCTCCTCTCAAACTTTACACCCATCCTCCCTACAATCTTATGGTGCTTGCATCTTCTGCCAAACTTTGCGGTGTTAGTTCGGTAGTGGTGCATAGAGGGAGTCACATGTGTCACGTGATAGTAGTGCTCTCCTATTGGTGGAGATGTGACGCATGATGATTTACATGAGAGACGTGTTGGAACATTGGATTCCAACAGAGGGAGGATGAAAGTTTGGGGCATGCATTTCTGAAAAAGTTTGCATGTAGAGGATAGTACAAAATGAGAAAATATAATCTTAATAGGGGTCTGAACACTTTGAAAGTGAACTTGTTGATAGACTATGTTTATTATGGTGTTTAATTTCTTCTTTATGATTTGTGAGTATGATCCTATATGTGTTAGAAATGTTATTACTTGTAGATTTGGGTCATCATAGGTATAAATGCAGTTTTATTGATGGTAGAATCTATAAAGCTGTTCGGAAAGAAGTTTTAAAATATATTTTAGTTTTGAGTAATTCTTGATGTAAAACTTCACAAAAATTGGCAAAGCTCTACTAACATTTTATTCACAATTTAGGTAATTGAATTAATTTTATCTCCATAGGATGGCCTGTCTTTCAGCCAGCCTCACTTAGTTGACAAATTTAGCTTCATAGGATGGCTTGCCTTGCAGCCAGCCTCACTGAGTAGACAAATTTAGCTTCTTAGGATGGCCTGCCTTGCAGCCAGCCTCACTGAGTAGACAAATTTAGATACATAGGATGGCCTGCCTTGCAGCCAGCCTCAGTGGGTTGACAAACTTAGCTCCAAAGGATAGCACACATTACAACCAGCCTCAGTGGGTTGACAAACGTAGCTCCAAAGGATGGCATGCTTTACAATTAGCCTTGCTGGGTTGACAAACTAAGCTAATCATGGAATCAGTTTATTTCTTATTGTGAGCCTAAGTTTTCATGTTAGATATTGTATGTGAAACTTTCATCGAAACTGTTACTTAAACAGAATTCTATCTAACAGGTGGAGTAATTTGCAAATATATAGATATATGTCCCATTATTAAAGTTTTAATTCATCGGTAAAAATAAAGTATGAATTAGAGAAATTTTTATTTGAGAAGGTTGTTTTAGTGAAACTTAAATATACTTTTAACTATTCTGTTCATACTGTTGATGATATAGTGCTGATCAGTGCTGCTCTGTACAGTATTGAGTTTTATCAGCTTTAACATTTTTCAGTATCATTAATTGCCATTTGGTGATTTTTCATATGTATGGTTCACATATTGGTTGCTATCATCTACAATCATAACCATATTGATGAAATTACATGAATTTCATGTGTAACATTTACTGTACTAAAGTTGCAAACTTACATTATTAAATGTAGCAGGATCATTTTTACACATTTATTTGAGCTACTCAGTTTATAAGAGTCCATGCCACAACACTTTATTTTGATATACTGAATTTAATAAATCTGTGTGATTAGCTGTGTTTATTATTTTCTTTTAAAGAACTAAAAGTTAAATCATCACCTACCAGTTCATGTTGTATATGTAAAATAAAACAAACTTGTTTTTCTCTAGGTTCATGATTTTTGATTGCTTCATTTTTTATTTTTCATTTCTATTAATATACTTGTTTAAAAACTTATCACAACTTCCTTGGCATGTACAGTATGAATGGAAATAATTTGTATTGTATTAACCGACAGATTGCTGACTTTTTTTATATACTATTCACTCTTACTGGGGTCTGCAAATTCTATCATATTAAATGATCTTATGTTTTTGCATGTTACAACACCTGTTGTAAAGTTAAGACCAAAAAAGTAGTCAAATCACACATTTGTTGTATAAAACATACAAGAAACCTCAGCAGTAATTAGTGGAATTAATAGCAGTATTCATAGTATTTCTGTTTTGTCATTTTTGTGTACCTTGTATGTTATTTGGGATTCAAGAATTTTCCTGAAAAATAGTTTCAAGAAAATATTTTTAAATAACTGATAGGGTCCATATGCTTAAGATTAAACAAATCATGTCTACTTTGATTTAACTTCCAAACTGCTATTTAACTCAAATCATCAATATAATAAGATAACTGGCATTTCTTTCTATGTTTTTCAGAGAAAACCTTCAGACTGTGTGAAATATGACTTATTAAACTTGTTATTTGGTTATGTATTCATTTGTCGTCTATATAATGGAGATCATGAAGAATTTCCCTCTGAATCGGTGGAGGTAAGTTATAGATTTCAAAACATTTATTTTTGCTAGAGATCATATGCTTTTATATCACAATACTGAAACTACTTTAAAAGCAAAATATTTAGATAGTTAAATTATCAGTTTCATTTGCAGATAAATTGTTTAATACAGGCCTAAAATTGTAGTACAGTATTAACAGTAAAAGTAGTGTCAAAATTTGGCAACCAACATTTAGACTTTAACATTAATAAGCTATAACCAAGTTTAAATGTATTTAGATAACTTACATGCAAATAAGGTTCAATTAAATTAAGGTTGATATTTTTTCATCCTAATAAGTGCTAATAATGATAATCATATTTAAAGAATAGATTCAGTGATGAAATTTCTCTGTAGAATCAAACATTTAAACAAAAATAAAGCCAACCTTGTATTTAAGTCATGATACAGTACTCATGATGTACACCTGTCACATGAATACAGATGTTTATTGTTCAGTGAGTTTTCCCAGGTATTTGCTCTACTAAGGGTACCCAACTACATAACCCAAACACATCACATACTCACTTAAAAGGTTTCTTTTTATTGCTGTTTTGAAGTATGTATCATGAACGTTTTATAATATGACTTGTGTGAAATTGTAGAGTGTCTTGGGGACTGCTTGGTAGATTCCCATTTTACAGAAACTATAAGAATATAATCTTCCATTGTGAGATAGGGTTGTAAAGTGGAAGAATGAATCTTATTGTAATTTTTGTTAAGTGGAGATGGAAGAAAATATAGTTTGAAAAGTCAAGAATTTGATCTTTTCTCAGGCCCCTATGCTAAAGGTTATTTTGCACCTGTCATGCAGGACCTTTTACAAAATTACATTTAAAGTTAATTAAACAGTTTTACCATCAATGTATATTAATAAACTTGACATAAAAGTGTAGTTTATAGCTCAATTTCTTATATTATTTCAGTTTAACTTCTTAATTTAAAAAATTAATGTTTAAAAAATTTTCAACTTCAGTTTATGGTTTCTACAATTTCCAACCAATTAGAAAAACAGACTAACTAGTTACAAATAAGAATGTAAAATGTGAATACATAGTTACAAGTAAGAATATAAAGCATGAACCTCCTACCTTGATGATTTGTTGGGATATCAGTAAAGTTGCCAAACCCACCAGGTAAGCCCCTCCAATCTTTCTCTGACTTTTTAGATTGATTGCCAGTCAACTTTACATAGCCAATGAACATGTTTGTAAGTAATAGAAAAAGTAGGTTCTCCTCTGCATAAATCTTACAACATTTCCTTTCATTTTTGTGCAATAAAACCATAGTCAACAGGCCCCCCAGTGGCACAGCGGTATGTCTGCAGACTTACAACGCTAGAAACCGGGTTTCGATACCCGTGGTGGGCAGAGCACAGATAGCCCTTGTGTAGCTTTGTGCATAATTACAAACAAACCATAGTCAACAGAATTCATTGTTTGTAGGTGATACTGTTCTGGTGCTCTAAGTAACTAAGGATTTTTTTAACCTTTTCATAGGTTATTTAGAAAATATTCTGATGTAGTGACTCGTATATTTTTGTGTTCTAAAATACATATTTGAAAGCTACATGAATTACTTTCTTGATATCCAAATTTGTGAGGAACAAAGAGGGTTAGTGAATGACTTCACTCAAGTGTGTGTGAGTACTAAACATAGTTTTAATATGCATTTCTATATATTTTTATGTATTTTTAACAAAAGTAACTTCATTGTTAAAATTAGAAACTTCTTTAGTTAAATACCAAAACTTAAGAAACAACATGTTTAAAATTTCATGAGCTCAGCAGATGGGGAAGGTGAGCTTACAGTATGTGCATAACTATGTTATTTGATTGTGTGTGTGTTTACATTAGTTCTGTGGGAAACAGCTAATGGGTTCTGCTGTGAGTTGTTATTTTTCACATCCAGCAATGGGTCCAAGGTACAGCAATAAAACCATAAAATTAAAAAAAGCAGGTGAAAACAGTTAGATGCTTAAGCTATTAAGATAAATAATTAAGGATTGTCTGTTACAATCTGTAATCTTTATAGACAAACAAATGCTATTTATTTTATTTCATATTTTTCAACTTTTGATTTTACTATACATTGATGATTTCACTGAAGTTAGTGTTAGAGCAAAGAAAACAAGATAAAATATAAAATATTACCAAACAAAGACCTTTTGATGTTTCTTTAGTAAGATCTAAAGTGTATACAAATGAAATGTGAAAACTGTTAAGATAAAAATAAGTTTTATATTCTTTGCATGAATATCAATTTTTACTCAGAATGACTAAGTAGTCTATAAATTCACAGACAAACCTTTAGTAAGGTACTTTATTAAATAAACAGTACAATAAACTTGTAATGTTTACTAAAAGCTTGCCAAGTTTCATGAAGGTACATTAATATATTCAATTATTTATAGTGTCATGTTTACATGATGGTTACAATGCTGATAAAATAAAATGAGCTTGTACAGAAATAGTTAAATAGCTAAAGCCACTACAGAAAATAATTGGGAAGAATAGGTTTGACTGTTGTAATACAAATGTCCAGTTAAATCTACGGTTTGGTCCAAAAGTACATTTAGACACAGTGTCAAAACTATTACTCAGTCAAGTGCTCTTTCCACAAACATAGGTATACACATGTATGTTGCTTGTAGTAAATGCTTCCCAAGCACCTGTAAATGTTTTGGCCTTGAAGACATTTCTATTGGCCATATACAGTATGTTGCTTTTCTTTCAATAAGGTCATTGTCTGGTGACAACCTCAGCTAACATGGCTACCCATCACATATATATGTTTTTTTCCATTATCTGGTTGATAAAGAAACAGCCTAATTCCAATAGGAAAGAAAGGGGTAGAATTGCAGGTGAAAGTTCCTACACATATAACATATATACACAGGCAGCAATATTTCGCTCTGATCATGAGAATCCACTAACACACAAGCATCTTAATACAAGACAAGATTAGTGCAACTGGAAACAGCTTCAAATTAACATTGCTTGCATTCCACTTACTGTGTGTTTTAACTGTGACTTATTTCAAAAAGAAATGTTTAGAAACTAGTGAGTGAAACTGTATGTTTATATTTTATTTTCATGATATGTAGCATAAAAGACCAACAAAAACTGGTTACTCCAGCTTTTAATTTGGTCTGACACATAAACTGTTGTCAGTGGATTTCACTATTCTTGGATAATTTTATCAGCTTGTGAATATTTCAGATTGATTCAGTTGAAAGTATTCTTCACTGGCATTACCAAAAACATCAGGTACCATCATATTTTTATTTAACCTTATCATGACCTTCAACCACATTTCTGGTGCCAAGTGCACACTTGCATGTAATATTTCAAAGTTGAAGTATTGGTAATAATTATAACCATTTCAACAGCTCTTAACTCAAACATAATTTGTCATTTTGCAAAATTTATTTAGTGTAATTTGCAAAGAAAAATTTTAAAGTGTTCCAAATTTCATTTTTGGGTACGTCTGTGGACTGTTGCCTGCCAGAACATATTTAACATTGGAATTTTTCTGCATGTCCTAAAGTATAGATTTATATTTTCCAAAGAACTATCAGCTTTAAGAATATAGTTATCAGTGTCTTATTTCTTGTAGGATTTTCCTTCTGTGTTTGGGGTTTTCTTTCCAGTTTTACATTCACACCTTTTATGATGTCACACCATGGACAGATTAAGAGGAATGTGGGAAAAAAAACATCTGCAGTTAACTTGTTTTTATAACAGTTTTTAGGCCAATTGGTTTTGCAATATTTTCTTAGCTTTTGATTAAACTAACTTTTAAAGTATTATGCTGCATATATTAATAGTATTTCTGATATTGAACAAAAAAGCTTATTGGGCAGTGACTTGTGGGAAACAAAATATAGATTTCATATGCTTTTTCTTACACCTCTGATTTTGAGCCACGGCAGACAAATTAACTCTTTCAGCACGGGGACCGGTCTCGTAACCATTTTATGATTGTTATCGCTTTCATGTTTAAATTAGTAATAGTATGTTCACAAAATTTGGCAGATTATCAGTAAATATGACGAGGCTTTCATATGCAAAATATTGGATGTTTTTATTAAATCTTAAGGTTTAAGTAATGTTTTTCTCATGTTTTTTTTTCATTTTGCATGTTACCTATCCAACATTCAAAATAATTTTCATTTTAAGATTAAAAATACTTTTATGCATCACAAAATTTTGAAATTTCACATGTGAAATCTTTATAATGTCCAGATAGTTATCAAATGTTTCTTTAAAAAAACTTTATATTCTAAAACATACATATGTCCACTGCCACGTATAGCTATTTCTCGATCTACATCTTCCGTTTTTCTATGCCATCTCAACATTGTATTTGCTTGCTCCAGTCTTTTATACCCCACTTGACTGCCTTCGGCAATATATAAGTTGCAAAACTTTACATCGGCCCTTACACGCTCTCTATGCGGGTAGGTACTGTATATAAGCACTGTATGCAGACAATATAATCACTTTTTCAACAAAGTGCAAGTGCTACGAGTCACGTTTTCTGGTTCACACTTTCATTACTAAAATTTTGAAAGTAGTCTGGTATTCTTTTTGTTCTTTTCTCCATTGCTAATTTTTACTTGGTTTTCTTCTGTGGTTAAAAAAAAAATTTTTTTAAGAGAAGCCATTCCTGTGTAATGGCTTCTAACATGGAGGCTACCCAGACCCATCCATTCCTCCTTTGTTGTCTGGTGGTAGTCAGCAGTCGAGGAGGCTTCAATCTTGGTGGAAGCTATCTGTGACCTGATTCGAGGCAAGATGAAGTCCTTCATGCAGCGTGGGGATGTCTCCCCAGGGGGTTCAGAGTTGACTTTATATACTGGGGAGAATTTAGACACTGTTTCCTGCTCCTTCTTTCACTAGGGCTGCCTCTACTGAGTGTTATCTGATCAGCCACCTTCTGCCCCTTTTCTGCAGTTAGTTATGTGAGTTTGTGAAGTTTTGGGGATTAAC